ATTTAAGGCAATCATAGTACTGGCAAATGCACCATGCTCATCCATATGCTATGTATTCCTGCAGCTGAAAACTGATGGCAGCCCAAACAAACATCCAAGAAAAAAGAAAAGCAAGGGGAGGAAGAGAAGAGAATGCCAGCGGATACCTGCAAAAAAACAATACGTAAATAACTTTTGGATCAGAAGTGTGAAAAGAAAATTGGTTTTCCAAATTGACAAGTTTTTGACTGCACTTTACATTTAAAAAATGCAATTTGAAGTTCACAAAAGGGTCCCCCCACGAGTTGCCAAATTTCAGGCAATCATTGCATTGACAAATGTACCATGTTTATCCATATTCCTTGTATGGGTTTCTGCAGCTGATAACTGATGGTAACCCAAACAAAGAAAAGGAATAGCAAGGGTAAGAACACAAGAGAATACAAGCGAACACCCTCAAGAAAACACTCCGTCAATAACTTTTGGATCAGAATTGTAGAAAGAAACAGGTTTCCCAAATTGAGACGTTTTTGACACACTTTGCATTACAATAATGCAATTTGAAGTTCACAAAGGGGACCCCTCACAAGTTGCCAAATTTTGGGCAATCATTGTATTGACAAATGTATCATTTTCATCCATATTCTATGTATGTTTTTGGTATGGGTTTCTGCAGCTGATAACTGATGGCAACCCAAACAAAGAAAAGGGAAAAAAGAAAGGGTAGGAAGAGAAGAGAATACAAGCGAACACCATTTAAAAAACACAATACGTCAATCACTTTTGGATCAGAATTGTAGATAGAAATAGGTTTCCCGAATTGACAAGTTTTTGACTATACTTTGCATTACAAGAATGCAGTTTGAAGTTCACAAAAGGGACCCCCCACAAGTTGCCAAATTTCAGGCAATCATTGACAAATGTACCATGCTCATCCATATATTCTATGTATGGGTTTCTGCAGCTGATAACTGATGCCAACCCAAACAAAGAAAAGGAAAAGCAAGGGTAGGAAGAGAAGAGAATACAAGCGAAAACCCAAAAAAAACAATACGTTTTTTACTTTTGGATCAGAATTGTAGAAAGAAATACTGTAGGTTTCCCGAATTGACAAGTTTTTGACTACACTTTACATTGAAAGTGTAAAAACTCCTGCAGTAAAACCATGTAGTGTATATATCATCGATCTACTCTGTAGCGTTGGTTCAAAACAGTGCCAGCAGCTTAGCGGTTACTTGCCCCCATTGTTATTGTAACATATTGGTGGCTGACCTTGTAAAATACAGGTTATCAGCCGTAGTCTCACTACTTTGCTATGGGGACCCCAATTGACCATCCTCTCGCCGTTCCAGGGTCAGGTCCATCGGCTGTCGCTGTGCCCAATGTGGCCGGGGGCAACCCCGAGCCGATGGATGACGAAACAATGTTCCAACCCGTTGTTGCGTACTTTACCTTCATACAAAACAACCTGTCCCAGATTACTAGTGGGAATACCCTGCAAGTCATGAGGGAAGCTGAACAGAGGCACCTTCAGATAATGCATGGAGTAGTTGACTCAATTCGAAACGAATGGTCAAGTAGACTCGTAATGCAGGAGCAGGAGTATGAGCAAAGGCTGCAGGAGATTGAAGGTAAGGCCATTAGTGCCGTCAACGAGGAGAGGAAACGAGGCGACGAGATGGAGGTCAGGTTGAATCAGGCTCAGGCATCGAATGACAAAAGAATAGAGGATGTAAAGGCAGAGGCAAACACAAAGCATGATCAGAAAATTGCAGAGGAAAGGCAACGTATCACTAGTGAATTCGAAGCTTCTTATGCACAGACAGTTGAACATGCAAAGAATGCCATAGCTGCCACAAAGAAGCAATATGAAGATCAGGCTGCAATTGATCAGGCCAGGTTCATCAGTTTGAGGACCGAGTTCGAGAACTACAAGAAGGAGATGGCCGACAAGATCAATGAGGCAGCGGCTCAGAACCTTAGCCTTCAGGACCAAATCGATGACCTTCAGGAGCAGTTAAAGCATGTTGCCAAAGCGCAGCATGCCTCCGTTCCGAGAGCATCCGCCCTGAATGCCGAGCCAGCCGCTACCACTAGCGTGCCTCACTTCAATATTGCC